AAAATGCAAAGCTATGTATACATTTGATTTCCACAGGAACAAATGTGACTTGGAATCTCAGGCTATTTTTTTCACCTACAAAACAGTCTATTTCATCAGAAAAAAATTGCATGTTCACAAGGTAAAAACAAGTCCAGAACACCTCTCAGAAGCTTCCAGAAAGTTGATCATCCCCTCCCTTGTGCTAACTCTGCACTTGTACATCTTTTGCACTGTTATGCGCTTAATTTATAATATTTCTCCCTTGGGCCTGGAGGCTCCTGAAGGTTGGCAGTTGTGATGTTCATGTTAAATGATTTTCTGTTATGACTACAGTGCAATGGAGAAAAAAATAAGTGAAAGTTTACAGTATATCTGTGATCAATAGTAATCAGCTTATACCTTCATCATGCTTATTTTGTGAGTTCCTCAGGTTCTTCACTCTGAGCTATATCACCATCCCTTTTTTATTTTTTATTTTGAGTCTCCCTAATTGCTAAGTTGCTCAGGCTGGGCTTGAGCTTGCCATTATCCTGCCTTGGCTTCCCAGAGTGCTGGGATTGCAGGTGTAAGCCACCATGCCTGGCCTTTTCTTTTTGACTTTTGCATTCTGTGTGGAGCAATGAAGAAGTGAATCATCATATAAAAATGTACAGATACAAATATAAAACACTTCCTAGAAAATATTAATGACTTTCACCTGGGTATTTTGAGATCCACAAGTCTACAGTTGAAAAGCTGATCAATAAGCACCAAATTTTCTTCTTCTAGTTCATGAATAGTATTTTCTAATTCTTCAACTTCATTCCTGTGAATTGCAATCTGTTCTCAGAAAAAGAGAAAGGATGTTCATACTTTTTTTTAGTACCAGGGATTGAACTTGGGACCTTGCACTTGCAAGGCAGACAGAGACACAACTGAGCTCAATCTCTGCCCCGTACTTTTTAATTTAGTTCTATAAAGTCTTCTGTAGCAAATTCAACTCCTAAAAGTGAATTTGCCTGAGGAAAAGATCTATCATGTATTATTTATTACTAGGTTAGCTTCATCCTCCTCTGTAGGAAGAAACAGGTATGCCACTTTTCTAAGTCTGTAGTAGAATTGTTTTCATGGTAAGGTAGTTATCATAGGAGAGCAGAAATTGTTCTCTCCTATGCTTCTAAACTTTTATAAACTTGTATGTGAACTAGAGGCAGAGATACGAAAATGAAGCTAATGAATTTAGCAACATGTATACTGGTAGCTAAATGAGATTCTGTGTAAGAGTAATTATAGACAATACAATAAATTATACACTTGAATAATGCTATATTATAGTATTTTTAAAGATATATAGCCCTAAGTAAGGCCCCAAAGACCCCGGAGGGGGTCTCTTCAGCTGCCTGCCTGCCGGAGATCACCTGGCGGCGGGTGCGCGACCTCCTGGACTGCATGACATCCGACCCAGTAAGGAAGGTAGCCGTGTGGGCGCCCTTGAAACACCCCCACGAACCCTCCCCGTTCTCAAACCTCCTGATTGGGCCAGTCCTTAGACCAACTCTGCAGAGGCATAGGTTCCCATGAAGGGTAGTTTTCTGAGCTCCCAACTTTGAACATCTTTAAAGAAAGGGCAGGGGAAACCTGTAATAGAACTGAGTAGAGTTCAACTCTGAGGGTAAGGAAACTCAAGTTAGGCCTTGTAGATTGTGTTCAGTCTCAGTCGTGGGGAACTGCCATTGGCTAGCTGAGACCAGGGGATTTGGTTCTGCATATGGCTGTGCATGTGGTATAATATGAGATCAGAGACAGCCTGAAAGAGGCACTTCAAATTCTTTTTTTTTTTCTCTCTCTTCTTTTTTCCTCATTCCACCCTAAAATTTCTTTCTTTTTTCTGTCCTCTCTCTCCAAATCAGTCTCTTGCTCCACCATATTGTCCCTCATCTCCCTTTTTATTCCAGCTCCTGCCCTAACTCAGACTTCTTCTTTTATTATTTTTTGTTTTTAGGAGGGGTTTTTCTTTATGTTCTTTTCTCCAGTCATTTTACCTCACTCATGCCTCTGTACCTTCAAGGGAAGGCAAGCGCCTGTTATTGTTAAGGGGATATATTCTTGTCCTTATTCCTGCACTCTCTCTATCCCCCCTGAAGTTAATAGCTTTGTAAAGATAGTAAGGTAATTCTACAACCTCTGGATTCACTTCAAACCTGCTCTAATTCTTTCACTTATCTAATCCTCTTGTTCTAAGTCGAACCCCCCATCCTAAATGGTAAAGATGCCATATTGAAAAGAATATTCACTGCAAACATACTATGAGCTGCTTCTTGAAATTAATCTAATTCACATGAGTTAAAGGTGATACATTAATGACTACCATAAGTGGTCAGTTGGCAAGCTGTGCCTGATCCTATTGGGCTGCTGAATGTATCAATTGGGACAAAGAGTGGTGATTGATTTAAAGAGTTGTTTTCTCTGATATTATGAAAACGAGAATGTCTATGAGTCATTAGAAACTCAAAAGCTAAAACGCAACTATATTAGGAAGATTTAAGTAATACCCAGAAATTAAAGAAGGACAACCCAACAATAAAAATAAAAATGAGAAAACACTTAAGCAAGACACAAAAACAAATATCCAGTTCACCAATAGCAAATAGTAGGACAAATGAGGATGAAAAGTCTGATAGTGAACCAACAGGACTCCCTGGACCCATAGCACAGGAGGTAACAAAATTGATCAATCAGGCTCTAGAAAAATTCAAATCAGAAATAATTTCCCAGCTAGCCAGAGAGATGATGAGCAAAATAGAAGTCATGATTCGAGACTCTAGAGCAGAAACTGAGAAAAAAATAGATGAGCTCAAGACTGTGATAGAAGCCATGAAGACTCAGCATAAGAAAGACATGGAAACAATGAATGCCCAACAGAGGAAAGAAATGGAATCCATAAAACAGATTCAAACAGATATCCAGGAGATTAAAAACTCTATTGAAAGTGTACGAAACAGAATAAAAGATTGCGAAGATAGAATTTCAGATATAGAAGATAGGATAGCAGTCAGTGACCGTGAAAAAAGAGGTCTATTAAAAACAGTAAGGGATCATGAGAAATCAATCCAACAACTCCTAGACGATACAAAGAAAAATAACATAAGACTGATAGGAATTCATGAAAAAACAGGAGAAAACACAAATGATATAAAAAAGCTCTTCACAGAATTAATGACAGAAAACTTCCCAAACAGAAGGGAAGAATTAGACATACAGATAAGTGAGGCATATAGAACCCCAACTAGCCACGATCAAAAAAAATCTACACCTAGACATATAATAATCAAGATTCCAGAAATCCAACAGAAAAACAAAATACTACAAGCAGTAAGAGAAAAGAAACAAATCACATGCAAAGGGAAGCCCATTAGAATCACAGCAGACTTTTCAACACAAACCCTTAGGTCAAGGAGAGCCTGGAGTGAGGTATTCCAAGTCCTAAAAGAAAAGAATCTCCAACCTAGACTTTTGTATCCTGCAAAACTCTCTTTCAAAATAGATGGGGAAATAAAATACTTCCACGACAAAGAGCACCTGAGAAATTTCATGAACACCAAACCAGCACTGCAAGGAATTCTAAACAATATCCTAGAAAAGGACAACGAAGTTCACAATTACATGAGGCCTAACTGACCAAATCAAATAGGTAAGGCAAGAAACTAAAAGGAGATGGGAGAAAAAGTAAAAAGAATCAACAAAAGGACAATAACATGACAAGAATAAGTCAAAATATATCAGTTATAACCATCAATGTTAATGGCCTCAATTCACCAATCAAGAGAAACAGATTGGCAGAATGGATTAAGAAGCAAAATCCAACAATATGTTGTATACAAGAAACACACCTAGTGCAAAAGGAAGTCCATAGACTGAAAGTGAAAGGATGAAAAACAATTCTGCATGCATCAGGAGCCCAGAAAAAAGCAGTGGTAGCAATCTTATTCTCAGATGAAGTAAATTTCAAACCAAAATGATTAAGAGAGACAAAGAAGGACACTACATCCTTGTAAAGGGAACAATTCAAGAGGAAAAGTTGACAATCATAAAACATCCTTGTAAAGGGAACAATTCAAGAGGAAGAGATGACAATCATAAACATATACACACCAAATATAAATGCCCCCAACTATATAAAACAAATATTAAGCAACATGAAAAACCAAATAAGCACTAATACAATTGTAGTGGGGGATTTAAATACCCCACTATCACAAATTGACAGATCATCTAGGCAGAAAATCAACAATTAAATAACAGAACTGAACCAAGCTTTGGAACATATGGACTTAATAGATGTCTACAGAGTATTCCACCCCACAAAATCAGAATATATATTCTTTTTGGCTGAACATGAATCATTCTCCAAGATAGACCACATATTGGCTCACAGAACAGGTCTGAATAAATGTAAAAGAATTGAAGTTATCCCCTGTATATTATCAGATCATAGTGCAATCAAGCTGTAGATCACTAGCACAAGAAACTGTAGGAACTTCACAAGCACATGGAACTGAACACTCTTCTAAACAATCAATGGATTAGAGGAAATTAAAGAAATTAGACAGTTTTTACAAATGAATGAGAATGCCAATACAACATACAGGAATCTTTGGGACACAATGAAAGCAGTTCTACGTGGAAAATTCATAACATTGAATGCCCACACTAGGGGAAAA